TATATATATATATGTACGCACACTGAAAAATATAATATATACACAGAGATAAATCAGTAAACCATCTTCAACCCATTTTTAACTTTAAAAATAATTTCCTCCTGCAGAACAAAACTAAAAGATTATTTCATCTTAAAAAGCTTCTTTGAATCTGAGTTTAACAGAAACTTCTTGTCAAACTGATCACCTGACAGAAACTGGACCACCTGAGCCCAGAACTGCCGGGTCAGAACCAATCTGATGAATCTGTTCGACTCTGAGAAACTCACCCTGACCTGCTGTCCTCCTCAGACTCCTTCAGTCTGTTACTTCTCTGATACTGGACTCAACACTCCTCCTCCTCCTCCTCCTGCAGAGGCAGGTCTGCAGTCAGGAGGGAGCAGCTCTGGTCTGTTATGGTGAAGGAGGGGCTAAAGGTTCTGGTTTTACTGGTCTGTCTGCGTTACAACCCTTACTTATGGTCCTGAGGTCTTGATMAGGGCTGAAAGGACCAGATCTTGGATCCAACAGTCAGGTTCAGTCTCAGAGACCTGCTGCTCCTCATCATCAAAAAGAGTCAGCTGAGGTGGTTCAGATCCAGTGGTGGCTGGTCAATAGGGGGCGCTAGAGCGCTGCCCTACCACTATCTTTGGTACACACAAAAATAAAAGTTAAAATAACACAATAAAGTGTCATAAATGTTTTGAAAAAATATCGTATGTATATTTTCTGATAAGTAAAATAAATAATTTAGTTATTGATGTGTAAACTTCCATTTTACTCGTGAGCTTTTTTGAGTTGAGTCACTTCCAGGTCACGAGCTGTTCGCCTCTCCAGAGTCCCACAGACAGGTCACTGTAAGAGTCTGGACATGTGCAGTGAGTCCTCACTGCAAACTGATAGAGTGGCCTGGAGCGCAGCACGTCACCGCCCTGCAGCTGACCTCTCAGCTGCTGTGGCTYACAGTACGTGACCAAGGCTTTTCAAGCATCAGGATCTGATCCAGCATGGATTAAAGCAGGTAGGAGTGAAGATAAAAGACTTTTTAATGCTTTTAATCACAGCACATATTAGGGCTGCAACAATACATCTACCTACATCGAACAGTGCTTTAGGTTCAACACACACTTGTATGGATCAATACAGATTTATAAAATTTATTTTATCAACTTGTCTTCTGAAGACGCTCTGTGTTGAAGGATCAGTGGATCTGTGTTCGACTACTCCAACTAGGCTGTATTTCTGAGTGAAGATCCACTGAGAAACTTGCTGTTTCAGCAACTTTTAATTTAAAAATTGTATGTTTGAGGTTAAACAAATGTTTATAATTAATTTAAATAAATTACAAGTTAAAAGGGACATGGACATTTCTCTTTTTGTATCGAAAAAATATCGAGACTAAAGTATCGAACCGAACCGTGAATTTTCTGTATCGTTGCACTTCTAGTATACTGTATGTATGTATGTATATAT